GCACTTTTGGTGGCGTAGCACTAGGCTCTTGTGGCGGCGGGGACGGTGAAGGTGGGCTTAAACTGTTGATATTTAGCTGGGCACAGCTATGTTGAGCACCACTTCTTCGTTGTTGATCCTAGATCTCTACTACTAAGTCACGACGGTCGGTATCCAACTGGTCCTGGCTTCTAAGTCCAACCGGGAGCTTTCTCATATGGTAGCGAGGCACGTGCTTGTCGGGCAAAGTAGATCGTACGTCTGAAAGCGTGTAGTCCTTTGGCCAAAGGAGTTGGCGCTTAGCTACGTCTAGCTTGACTTGACACATCTCTAGCCAGGTGCGGCCTAGAATAATGTCATGGGAGCCGAGCTCTGTAACCAAAAAAGGGACTGAGAGCTGCTTCCTTCCGTCTACCGTGAGGTGGAGGCGTAGGCAATAAGAGATAGCTTGTCCAGGTCTGCCATTAAAGCCTGAAACAGGGATAGGAGAGCGTAAGCGCTGAAACTTGGCACCAGTGAAGTTCGCAAAGTCGCGGACAAGGGCAGAAGTAATGAAGGCAAAGCCATTTGCTCTAGTGTCGATAAGAGGGTGAACGGTAGTACTAATTGCATTAAAACTAATAGTACATGGGTACGAAAAGTGTGTTCTACCCATCACTGCTCGTAAGTCTAGCTTTGAGCAATCGACAAAGCGGCCTAAGAAGGAGACTTCCCTTAGGCTACGCCATTTCCCGGCATAAGCTGACTTGCGTTGTCTTCATCGTCTTCTACCTCTTCCTCTTCCACGTGGCCTTGAGGGTAGGTTGCAATCTCTTCTATCTCTAATGCACTCTCCATGTTGGTAATATCCAAGTGTGTAACCGAAGGGCAGTCCTTCGCAAAGTGACCAATCCTCTTGCAGTTGAAACACTGGCTAGTCTTTGGGTCAGGGGGAGCTACTGACTGCTGGCGGCTAGGAGTGCCCTGCTAATGAAACGTAGGGGCAGCAGGCTTGGGAGACGATCGAGGTGGTCCGGGCAGATAGTGTTGTGTTGTCCTGACCGGTACCTGGGGTCCTTAGACGGTGGTAGAGCGAGCTTCCGCACGAGACTTCCTTAGGGTCGGCACTAGCTTCGTCTGAGCTACGTGTGAGAGTTCGAGGTCGGTCTGCTCTGCTACGGCGCAGAGGTTGGTAAAGCTTTGGCGCATGCTATACACTTGGCCTGCAATAGCGATACGGATGCGGGGCGTAAGCTTAGAGCGGAAATCCGAGAAGAGCTGGTCTCGTGATATCCCTGCTTGAGCTGACAAAGTGAGAAAGCGGATCTTGAACTGTCGCATAGTCTTAGTGTCTATCATAGCCAAAGAGCGATACTCGTCTTGCTTCTTCAAGGATTCGAAAGGGTCTACATAAGCTATAGCCAAGGACTGGACCATCTCTTCCAACGTACGGAACGCATGGTGGACTCTTCGTAGAGTGGTAGGGAAGCGAGTTAGCAGTTGAGCTCTAGCCTCAC